GTGGGAAGTGTCACAGAGGATGAGGCTGAGGAAAGATCATGGTCAGTCATTAAGAGGAAATATGTAAATGAGTGTGGTCATAACTTCTAAGAACTCTGGAATATAATCAAGAGAACAAATTGAGGATCCACGGAATAGAAAGAGGAACTCAGAAAAAAACCAATGGCACAGATTTTTATTCAATGAAGTTGTAAGATGGAATTTCCTAAATCTTGTTTTATAAAAAGGCATATGAGTACTAGAGGTATTTTGAACTCTGACAGACATGACCAGACTAGACAAGGACCTCTCCATCACTTACTACAGTTGAGAGGCTTGAAGTAATAATAAGCAAGCTATAAAATGTTAGCACACAGGCAGGCACATCAGAATTATGTCAGATCTGACACAATCACAAAATAGAAAGAAGAAACACAAGCACACTTATTCTACGAAGCCAACACCACCCCAGTATCAAAACTGGAACACACACACACACACACACACACACACACACACAGATTTCCATGATGAACACAGACACAAAAATTCTTCATTAAAATACTTCTAAATCAACTGAGGAACATATTAAGAGGATCATGCACCATACCCATGGTGGGTGGGCAGGTCATTCCAGGGATACCATGATGATTCAACATATACAAGTTAAATGTAGCAAAGCACACTTTAGGATAGAAATCACATGATCATCTCAATAGCTGTATAAAACCTTTGACAAAGTCCAACATCCAGATGCCAGGAGTAGAAAGAACACAGCTCAGTACAATAAAGGCTCTATATGACAAGTCTCTGTATGACTACAGTATCCTGACTGGAAAGAAAGGCCAAGCTTCCCTCTAGGCTGTGTTCACTCCTTCCATCTTGTGCAGGGTATGCAATGTGATGTTTCATGTTGCAGTTAGTAGGACAAGAGACATACAAAGCATACAAATAGGAAAGGAAAGCAAATTAAAGCCATCATCCAGACACGATTCCACCAGAAAACTCTTAGACATCATAAACACTTTCCCAAACTAGCAGGACACAAAAACCAACTTTCCTAAAAGACAGTGATGAACTTTCCAGTGAGAAATTGGGAAAAAGAAGTCCCACTCACAAAGACTTTGAAAAACACTTAGGAATAAGCCAGAGGATGTGAAAGACTTCTTCCCTAAGAACTTGAAAGCCTTGAAGAAAGAGGTTTACCATACTAGAAGATGAAAAGATCTTCCATGCCAACGACCTGGCAGAATCTGTTACAAAAAGTGATCTGCACATGCAAGTCAGTCCTCATTAGCCTCAAATAGCCAAAGAAATCCCTAGAAGAAAGACCAGAGCTGAAGGCCTTATGATACCTAACCTCAAATTATATTAGAGCCACATTAACAGGACATGGTATTGCAAGACAGTGGAATGGGACAGAGGACTGGGAAGTAAGTCCACCCAGCTGCAGCCTTTTGATAAAGCTTTTCAGCAAGATGTTCAAGTATTTGAAGCCGGGTGTGACGGTGCACACCTTTAATCCCAGCACCTTCCAGGCAGCAGCAGGGGGATCTGGGTGAGTTCGAGGCCAACCTGGTCTACAAAATGATGTTCCAGTACAGCCAGGGCTATTTCCCAGAGAAACCCTGTCTTCAAAACAAAACAAAACAAAACAACAGAAACAAACAAACAAATCAAAACAATAAATGTATTTGAGAAAAGGCAGCCTCTTCATTAAACCAGGGAAACTAGGTATCTGTATTTAGAAGACTGAAACTAAACCCGTACTGTTCACCTTGCCCCAAAATCTATTCAAAGTAGATCAAAGACCATAATGTAAGACCGAAAACTTTGAAACCGCTGAAGGAAAACACTCCACTCTAAAGACATAGGCCAGGGCTTTCTGAAAAGGATTTCACCATCGTAGGAAACCCCATCCCCAAAACTGCCTGACTGGATCACATGACATAAAAACCCAAAAAAGCTTCTGCACAGCAGAAGGAAGATAAAATCTGCATCCCCTGGCAGGAGACCAAGATTAGTCTATGAAGAACTAAAAATAAATCCATCGACCAATAAACAAACTGATGATTCAGACAGTTCCCAACAGAACTACAAACGGGCAGTAAACATTTTAAATCCCGCTCATCACTCTCATCCATTTAATGAATGCAAACTAAAACGACACTGAGATTCCACCTCCTGTCAGGATGGAGATCACCAAGGAAAGATGAAAATGCTGGTGGCAACGGTGTTGGGGAAAAAGCCCCGACAAACTGGTGTAGGCAACGCGGAACTCAGCGTGGAGGCTCCTGAGATATTTAAGCGACCATGAGATCCAGCTGCTCCTCTTGAGCATATGCCCTAGGGAATCTAGGTCAGCACACACCAGGCAACCCTGCTCACGTACTGCTGCATTCTTCTCGACAACCAAGGCACGGAACCAAGAGATGAGCTGATAAAGAAAATGTGGAAGGTTATGTACAGAGAAGTCTCACTCAGCCGGGAAGAATGACGGTATGTCACCCAAAGGAAAAATGAATGAAACCAGACTCAACTGTTCCATTTTCTACTAGAGGAGGAATCTATTACATATGAGTGTTTGTGTATGCATATGACACGAAGGCGGAAGGACTCACGTGGGAGGAGCAGGACTAAAAAGAGGTGGGCTGGTGAAAGGTGGGGCGGGTGTGAACAAAGTGCAATGCCACACGTATGTGAAAATGTCATAAAGGCACTCACTACTTGTGTGTACTTTTAGGGTAAATATAAAGCACTCTCATTTCAGATTAAACTGATTAGCCATCCATTGAGAAGGGGTGACAGGGACATTCCTGCCAGTCATTTCATTTGGATGCAGGGGGAGTAACATGACTTTTAAAAATGTTAAATTTGAAGCTAGCAGCTTTTTTGTACATTGTTTGCAAGTGATTTTCTTTCTTTTTCAGTTTTTATTTTGTAGTCTACCATTTTTTAATTATAGTCCAAATAAAGGAAATCAGTCATAAAATGTCATTGGCCTGGCACTGTTTAATCCTAACTATATTTTCAAACAAATCGCCAGAGTAAATGGGGATGACAGGTTCACATTAATGCCAATTTTCCTTGAATGTGTCCAATGCTGATGTTCTTCCAATCACAATCTCAGGGTGTTTTGACCAAGGGATTTACATGTGGTTAGGGAGGATCAAATAGCCTAGAAATACTGACTCTCATGACAGCTTCACAATGCTATGGAGGGGTTCTTACGGAGCGGCACCCTACTTCTATACTCCTGGGTCAGTGTGAGCTGACTTGTTCTTAACTCCGAAATGATCCATTACAGATCATTACAGATATGAACTGCAAACATAGGATGACGGTTCATATTGAATCCTGAACTCTAGCACTGGCTGAAAAATCTACTTGGAATGGCCTTTAGTGAGAATTTCCACCTGTTAGGATTCAAATACTTTTCATAGAGGAAACAATCTGAGCTTGCTCCCTTTGAGACTGAGGGGTTCTTCTACTTGGGCCCACTGTGGTATGGAAATTTACTTTTAAAAATTTAACACTAAGGACTCGACTTCAAGGTAGGGAAGTATTTTTAAAATAAGATACAAAATGAAACAACCTTCTCGAGAGGTCAGACATGCAGGCGGGTGAAGCACTCACGGGCATCTCCACCAAGGCCACGGGGCACCACAGGAGCTGCCACTAGCGTTCAGAGGAGCCCCTCTGGTGAACTGAAACCACACAACAGTAGCATGGGCTCACATCAGGGTTTGAACCATTTAGGCAGAAAACTAAAGAGAATTTCCTTTTCTTTATGGATTTCTTTTTATGGAGTCTAGTTTGTTTTAGAAGCTTGTCAACAGTTCATTAGTAAAATGGTCAAAATATCTGGTTATTTACAGAAAACCCAGAAGTCTAACAAACACTAGCATGATACGTCATTTCATTAGTACCAGGGGAATGCAGAAGAAGGCAATACAGACTTTCAGCTTTGGTACTGTTAGACATTATGTTGAGGTTCTCTCTTCTCCGTGTCTTAACCGGCTTTTAAAAGAAGTGTATAAGTATAAATGCCAATCTGAGGATGCCCATCTGTGTGCATGGGGAAGGAGGGTACCAGATCCTTGAAGCTTCAGTTTTGAGATGTGGCTACAGTGACACAAGAGGGAAGCAGTGCGGAACAACTCTCTGTCAAGCATTTCAGTGTTCTGGTAAAATTGCTTCTGGCTATAGCTGAACATTTTAACATCAAAATTGAAATATGAAAACACATGCCAGATTCCTAAATTATATTTTTTTTAAAAAAAGCACCGAATCTGAGCATACTGAAAATACTTAAGTATTTTAAAGGCGCTGGCAAAGCAATCATAACTGACATTACGTTTTCTTGTTACGGACAGGTGACTTGTGTTATATTTCCACTGGATAGTGCTGCAGATGACTAAATCTACTTCCCAGGCAGGCCATCTCTTCCGAAGATGTCTGATGTGGGAACTGTCAAAACATAGGAACCCTCCACAGCTCATTTCAGTCAGGTAGTGAACTGGCTAGTCAAATTGCTAAGTGGAAGTAACCTATGTCCCCCTGCCCTCACTCGTGTGGCCATTGTTTACCGCAAGCTCAGTTCTCCCTGGGACAAGGGAGCAATGAGATTAGGAATCCTTTTTAAAACATCATGGTCCTTCTTCCCAATTATACGTGGAATCTGGTACAGGGGCTGCTAATTTGGACCAAAGATGGCAGTAGTGCAGCTACTGCCTCTGAAACTGCCTGAGAGGCAGACCATGCTCACCTAAATCCCCTTCCCTGAGAGGCCACCTGGGCCACTGGGCACGGCAGGAAACTCAAGATGCTCTTCGAGCAAAGCCAAAGAGAAGGGCTGTGTGGATTCACAGCAGGGTTTGCATGTCTGGGAAGGTGTCTTAACACCCTGGTAGAATCAATGCCTGTTCTGTGTGTAGCACCACCCTTACACACATCAGTAGTGCACACAAGATTCTGTGTTTTGCAGCCACCCTGTTTTAATGTCTGAAGTGAGAGAGCAGTGACGATCTTAAAAGTTGCTTTATTTAAACAAAATTGATGCCAACTTTTCTATCTATATACAAACATGTTTCAGAACCAGAGCAGCAGACAAACAGACTGTTCACACAGGAACTGTAATGCTTGACATGTTAAGACAAAGTTTTGTTTTCTGCTCATAAAGACATTCACAGACTCAAAAGTCATTCCGAAGGCTAAACAACACTATACCTTCATCTTCCGGGGTGGCTTATGTAAATTCTAAATAAAGGGGGATGGAACTTTGGAGGGTCAATACACCACGTTTAGTTTAGTACAACAGTGTACGGCCCATGACGGGACTCACAAATGTTTTGGGCTGGAGATAAAACTTTGAATAAAATATAATTTATTGAGAGGACACTTAAGAGTCAGAGGCTTAAATTTTTTTCATTCTACTTGTCTATATCATAAATATAAGAAGATCCTTTCATTTCTGGTCCCCCAAAGTAAGAAAGACTAGCTTAAAAAATAAGTTTAAAATAATTTTATAAGTACTATCAACAAAATGTAGTGACTAGATCCTTCAAAGTCAAGGTAAGACTATGGAAGTACCACATTCCTGTCCTTCTCCCTCCACACACTCGCCTACACGATAAGCTAGTTCTAAAGATCTGTGTTTGGAAAGTTAGTCTCTTTCGTTTCTCCCAAGCTACGGACTTCCAGGAGCCCTCTGGGTTCAACAAGGATCACAGTTCCAAAAATCCCCCAAAGACGCACTACGTCTTCTGCTCACTGACTCCAGCTCCACAAAGGTACTAGTTGCTTTAGGTAATACTTGAAAACAGCGGCTGCAGCAGAGTGTGACCATTCTGTTGGCGCTGATCTTCGGCAGCTCTTGGCCCCGCCATTCGGGGGACAAAACTGTGCAGCAGTGAGGTGGAGAAGGAGTGGATCCCACAGCCCCTCCTGCCACATCACATGAGACATCGGAGCTGGAGGGTGCCAGGCTGCACCGCAGATCAGACCTCAGAACGCTCTGCACTACAGAGCCACCGAGCACCAAGCATGACTATATGCCACAATACAATGACCCACAGGGGTTGTCTACTCCCGTTTGCTCATAGGAATCAGCTCCCACCACTTTACTGTGCTTTCATTTTCTAAAAATGAGATGAAACCATTGTAAAAATGTTCTTTCAAAATAAATTATTTCTAGAATATAAAAGCTTTATATTTTCCCAGCTCATGTATCATTATAAAATAGGAAATCAGAAAATTAGCTGTTGCAATTTGCATATGGTAAAAAATATTTATATGTGTACACATATATACACATATATAAAAATGCAACTTTTAAATTAAAATTATCAATTAAAATGATCAGGTATTGACTCATACCTAAGAAAATCCAAGTATTTATACTGAAAACAAACCTGAAAGGAGTACAATCCCAACTGTGAGAGGGTACGCTTGCCGTGTGCTAAGGCAGAGGCAGGAATTCTGCTTACCCAGTAGACTAGAAGTCACCCAACCATTTCCTATCTACCCAGCCCTCACCCCAGTCCCACTCAGCACCTCTAAGTCCTTAAGGATGGACAGTCTCAAGAGGGGTGGCCTGTGACCCTTCCCCCTGAGCTGCCCTGGCCCAGGAAGCCCTACCCATGCAGGAGATAGGCTTTCCCCCAGTGCGCACGAGTGCCTTGTGGACTGGCTGGTCTTGACACCTCTTAGTGGAGTCGAGGTGAGCAAGAAGAGAGCATCTGTGGCTAGACTAGGAGTGGTGTGTTCCTTGCACTGAGAATGGGTAGTGTTCCTAACGCCTCTGCAGACAGAGGGCTTCTCTTTCCATGTGGTTGATTCCCTTAGTCGCTAGTGTTCACGTTCATGAGGAAAAATGTTCTGGATCTCAGACAGAGGCTGTGCTCGTCCCCAGGAGAACCTGCTCAGAAAGGGCCAAAGGGAGAACCGCGCTGGCCTGGGGAACAGCCCTATGATCCTATACTTAAGAGCGGTGGCCTCCCCTGGGGCTCTGCAGGATCCCCGGGTGAGAAGCCAGCCACAGCAGGCCCTTCACAGCCTGCTTTCAAGTACACTTGGAATGGCACCGCCGAGGCTTGTGTTTCAATGGATCTGCTCCTTCACATTTTAAAGTGGCCCTTTATGTTTGGTGGAGCAGATTAAATTTTATGTATCTTTCCTTCTTTACCTAACAACAACAACAACAACAAAGAACAATTACACATCCCCTACCCAACTATTACCAATAAGCAGGCAAAAACTAAATACTGAAAATTTTGTCTTTTCTTCTTCTAACACCTGCTGCTGACACATGACCAGGAACAGCGAAGCTCGTGGCTTTGCAGAACACTGTTAGTCCTTGGAGTGGGAGGGGCAAGCACAGTGTATTTTCTAACCAAATTGAAAATGGCCCATCAAGTAGAAAATTTCTATTATGTACCAAATATTCTGAAAGAGTCAAAACAAAATCAAAGTGGAGGTGTGCACCAAAACACAGGCTTCTCTCTTCAGTAGCATTTATCCAAGAAGCCTGTCAATCATAAACCTGCCCCTCTAAATGGTTTATGAAAGAAGTGTCTACTCAGAAAAAAAATAAACACTAAGTAAGGAAGGCCTCAGATCCCACCGAAAACCTGTGGAGAGTATTATTTCCTTTCAACAGAAAACAATAGAATTTCAGGGGTCTCTCACCTCTCCTAGCCCAGCCACAGAGCTCAGGTAAGGGGCTTTCAATCTATGGTGACTCTGGGAAAAAAGCAAACCCCTTCTACTGCATCGAGAGTCTAGGGTGCAACCCTAAGCCACGAATACTAGAAGAAAACCAATTTGCTTCAAAGACCAATTCTGACTCATTTGCCCTTTGAAGAAAGAATATCCCAGTCTCTGGTGGCCTCGATCAGATGCCGCTGGCCGTGACTCATCCACTCTTCCTGGTCTTCGTAGAGCCGCCCACAGAACCAGCACTTAAACACGCACTGGGCATGGTCGTCCGGCAGGGAGCCCACCACCTGGTAGTTGTTCTTGTGAACCTTCTTCAGCTTCATTTTCAGCATCATCTGCCTCTTCATGTGGCTCGCCTCATCTGCGCTCTGGTAGGTGAGGCGCGCGTGGTGCCGCCGGACGCCCAGCTGACACCGAGTCCTCTCGGACAGCACAACCTTGAGAACATTGCCTCGGTACTTGTTTATGACCTTCATCACGTTGCTCACTTCGGGGGAGTCCACGTCGGGATGGTTTAGCACGATGACCGGCTGGTTCCGACGGGGGCATTTGATCAGCTGATCTGGCCTGGCAGCTATGAGTCGCAGCTGCCTGGCAACCTGAAAAGAGGAAGGGTCTCTGAGGCCACGGCTGGGATCCGCCTGCAGCTTGCTTTTTTTCTTGGCTGAGCTCACTTGCTTGGTTTTGGTCTTGCTTAGGGTTAGGTTCCTAGAAATGGGCCTCCCTTGCCTGCTGGAGTCATTGTTTCCTGTCTGTGTGCTGTACACAGGGATGATTTTCTTAGGGGTACTACTGCAGATAGAGTCCTCCTTTCTAGATTTGGGCCGAAGAGATGTCTCCAGATTGGGGGACACGTCTGCCGACCCGCGTCTGCACGTCAAAGGCTGGGAGCCTGAGCTGGTCTGTTTCACAGGGCAGAACGGAAGCGGTTCTAACTGGGCTTCACTGCAGGGTATGCTGACAGGCGTGTCACAGGTGGCCTCGATGATGTGGGCATCTTCAGAGGAGTTAAGGACCCTCAACACAGCCCCTTTGGGGATCAGCACTGGAGTCGCAACAGGAGTCTTTCTGGTCACTCTGCTCTCCATTTTCCCATCGTCACCACTGACAAACTTGGGGCCGATCTGCTGCGGAGCAAGCTGCCCGCTGCCAGCCATGCTGCCTTCACTCTCAGGTTTTTGGAGAGGACCTACGGAAGGGCCGGAACTAGGGCCAGGGCCAGTAAGAGACACACTCATTTCCTGAATACCCTTGGGAGCTGCTTTTGAAGTCAGCTTGGGTGCCTGCCCTACGGAACGCCGCTGAGCACTATTGGCAGACAACGAGGAAGGCTTGCCGCACGACTCAATCAACTGTGCGATCTTCCTGCGAAGCAGCTCGATGGACTTTATTTTGCTTGTTGAACTATTCCACTTAATGCCCTCTGGCACATTTTCAGTTCCAGAGCTCAAGGAAAATACTGACGAGATGATGGGCCCCTCAAAGGTGTTACCGGTCTTTTCAGAATTCTTCGGCTGCTCAGGCTGACCCCCAGGCTGTTGGGGCCTCAGTTTATCTTCTGCAGTAATGTTTATGTGTAAATACTCTTTTTTCTGTGCGGAGGAAGCCTGGCCTGTATTTCCCACTGCCTTGTTTGCTACCTGTTTGTCTTCCAGCTTCCTGTCAGGGGGAACCACTGTCTCAGGACGACTAGCCCGACTCCTGGCTTCTAAGTCACTCTCACCTATAGGCAGAAGGCCCTTCTCTGCAGAGAAGGGAACCTTTGCAGGCAACGAGGTGAGGGGAAGGAGCTGCTGGGAGTCACCGCGGGAACCCCTTCCTTCTTCAGCCAAAGGAACTGCTGATTTACTCAAGAAAGGGTTCACCGTGGCTCCAGGACTGCAGGACACACTGCTTTGTACAGAGGCTGGAGAATGACCTTTTAAGGCAGCAGAGGGAAGGGCTCTAGGTGGACACAAACTGTGAGTTTTCTGCAAATCTTTAATTGTCTCGGAGCTGAGAAAAGAGTCCTGCTGACTGTGCACACCAGAACTGGGCATGAAGAAATTGCAAGACTTGACCCACTTCACATTTTTAAGTTGTTTCTGAACCAAAGAGTGCAGCCGATCAAGGCCCACAAACTCTCCAGCATTCCCTTCCATTGCTAGCGACCTTGCTGCTTCCGTCGAGAGCATCTTTTTCTGTCCCCCTGAGCCCTTCTCCATGATAGTACACATGGAGGTCCCTCCATCTCCTCTGCCTGGGTCAAGGCGGGTGTTTTCTTCTAACGGAAACAGTTTAAGCACAAGCTGCTGTGTACCATTGACAACCTTCACATCGATCAACTGGGCTAGACAGTTGGTGGGGACCACCAGCTCCGAGGGCGCCATGACCGTCAGCGGCAAACCCGGCTGCACAGGCTCCTTGGAGGGGGACAGGATTTCCACCTCAACGTTCTTATTCCCCAACAGGTTCACCTCGCTTTGCTCTGACAGGGCCATTTTGTTGGGAATACACACTACATCTTTTTGGTACTTCTTTAGTTCAGGTAACAACATCACGCTGTGTGTCTTGTCTTTGTTTGTGTGGAGAGAGAATCGAGATAACTGCTCTGATAACTTGTTCTGGAAGGTAGCCCTGGGACTGGGGGCCTTCAAGAGTTCTGGGCTCTGCTTTGCAATGTTGGTTCTCTTGGGCTCCAGCTTGGCAACGGTTTTGAGCGGTCGTTTGGCACCGGCCCTCTCATGGACCCTTCTCCTGTGCTTGACAATGTAGTCATTGCGGATAGCGCCATAGTCGCAGTACTCACAGCGGTAAGGGAAGACGCCTGTGTGCTTCACCAGGTGCCTCTGGAACTCCCCCTTCGTGTAGGAGATGTAGCTACAGTGGGAGCAGATGAACTTGATCTCCTCATGCTGCAGTGTGTGCTTTCTGTACTGCAGTGGGTCCTTGGTGGAGAAGCGACATTTATCACAGTAGTATTTGCCCGGCTTGAAGTTCCTAACCTTAAATTTGTTATTTACAGGGCTTGAGATGGTTTCGGTCTCATTTCGGACAAGAACAGCAGCAGGGTTACTGCTCACAAAATGCAGCTGGGTAGGTATCGTGCGAAGGCTGCATTTGAAGCAGACATACGCATCTTCCTTCTGGCTCTGCCCGGGGCCCTTCCTTAAGTCTTGAGGCGGGACCTTGTGGACACTTTTGCACTGTACACAGGTAGCAATGGTCATTGTGGCAGTCTCTGCCTCTGAGCCTTGGTACAACAAGGTCTGTGCTTCCTGTCTGTCTGGCCGGGTTGCTCTATTACAACTAGGCTGTTTGGGGGACATGGTCAAAGAACTTGGTCCACCATTCACTTGTGTGGTATACAGCTGTTCTCCGATGTCCTTCATCTTCTTTATCTGCATACCCACATAGCCAGCTGAAATCGAAGATGTCATTTGATAAAATCCTCTGTAGACATCCTTCCCGCAGACCCAGTGACTGGTGGAGCCGCAGACACTTCTTGGTAAATATGTAACAATCAATCAATCACGTTTCGTGTCCTTTCACAGGAAATACATGAACCACAGCATGCTTTCAATTCTGTTTCCAGGCAACACTACAGGAAAAGACCATAAAGCATGATTAGTACAGAGGCTCATAGCTTAGCTAAGCTACCACAATTCCACTGTGCCGGAATGACGCTGCGGGAACGTCACAGGGAGTCCCCAGAGGCTAAAGGACAAACACAAACACAAGCATGTTGGCCAGGCTAAACTAAGAACATTCTCTAGCCCACATCAACTGGGAGCCAGAGCTACCTGGAGGATCCTCACCAGTAGCTCCGGATCACCTCTGACAAGGGAATGCTTTGTTTAATCGACAGTGACCACAGGTAGCTTCAGATGATCCTCACAAAACATCATAAAGACACTGCCAGCTCGGCCTTGATGCGTGAGTCACCCAGTGGTGGAGAAAGGGCTTATGGTCAGTTGTTCTAGATGCACCTACATTATAGCAACTCTCATTCACACACCCACTCGGCTTGCACAAGTGGTGAAGCCAGCAACACCGTCTCAAACACAGCGATTTATTTACCATCTTCAGGGGCCTCCATCAGGTGTGAGGCTCTGCCCGTAAGCTGAAGGGCAGTGATCCAGAGATGATTCAATGGGTAAATACACTTGGTGCCAACACTGATGGCCTGGGTTCCACTCTCAGAACCCACATGGTAGGTTCTTGAAAGCTGCTCCCTGACTACCACACTTGTTCTGTGGCATGTGTATGCACGCAAAGAATTTAAAAATGTTTAAAAATGGATGTACCACTATTTTACACTTATGAAGCCCACATTTGGGAGAGTGGTTCATACATTTGGTTGTCAAATGACAGTTTAAGAAAAAGAAACAAACCAAAACTAGTGAAGAAATATCAAAAAGCAAGGTGAAGAGGACAAGGAGGCAGAGGGGCCAGGTGGAAGGAGGGCATCCAGGAAATGACTGAAGATGGGAAGCCACATCTGTATACAGACCTGTGGCAGCCAGGGATTGGGTTCTGTGGGAGTCCAGAAAACAAAAGGATGTGTCAAGCAGAGAGGGCCAAGATCTGTAGGAAGCGGGCCGGAGACTTGGAGACTTAGCGACTTAGCAAGGGGTTGAGGTGGGGGCTGTGGGATGATCAGAATGGGACACAGCCTCACAGGATGGCAGTTCCTCCTGTATATGGGACAGAGCTGAGAGGGAGAGACTGGGCCAGCGGAACAACACTCAGATTTACATCAACAGCATGCAGTGATGTGGGAGGACCAGAGCCTACAAAGGACTAAACGGCGGCCGTGAACCACGATGCCTTGGATTAGAACAGGAACGGAAACACGTATCTTCTAGAACAAGTAAGATTTACCATGCTCACGCACGTGCTAAATGGTGATTGGGAATATACAACGTATAGACACTTTACTTGGAAGATACAAACTCGAAGCCCAACAATACTTGTTTGGAATCTGCTGGTCTTTCATGATCTTAGACAAACAAACCAAACCCGCATCATCTGAACAAATTTCCTCATTGTCATCTGGCAATGAGGACCATGGGCACTTCATGTAGCCTCTCCACAGGACAGTAAGCACACACTCAAGTGTTGGGTGATGGGCAAGAAAATGAGGGAGAACCAGCAGCTCCTTTTGGCACAGGATGGTTAAGCCAAGAGCTACACAATGCCAGTCTGAAAGCCCAGCTCAGGGCAGCCACATTCATTTCCAGCATAAAACCCTTTAAATGTAGCTCTGAAAAACAATGGAGACCCTAGCTAATGGCAAGCTGTGATTTCTTCTGCGGTATTAGTCTCTTTCCTGTCTAGCTCTGCTGAATGATGGCTACCTTCGTCCAAAACTATAAGCATGCAGCCAAGCCCCAATACTAGGCTCAGCATCAAGTAGACAGAAGCCTTGGGGGCTGCAAGTGCTGTCTGACGGCTCCACGTTCAGGCATATACATAAGCCAGAGGACCGTGACTGCACAGGACACACAAACGTTGCCAACTAGCAGCAGAGACCAGCCTTTCTACTCTGCTGTACCCTTGTGTAGACATAGAGAGGCCTTTCAGGAGCATCAATAGGGGAAGCAGACACACGCTTTACTTTCTAGATCTGTAGATGGCACGGGTGAAAGGAGACAGGGTGACCCCTAGTACTCCTGCCATACACAAAGCCACCTCCACAGTGACCTATGTGCACCTGTTTGCGCATCTCTAGGGCACAAGCCTGGACTAGGTTCCTAAGCCTGAGGCTGCTGGTCTCTGAAACCAGAGTTTATAATTTAAAACACGAGCATCGAGCATCTTCAAGATGCTCTCGCCAGCAACTCTGTGCAGACACCACAACTGCAAGCAGAGCCTGGAAAACCACAGAGCCATAGAATGCAGAGGCTGAAGTCAGGGAATAGGGCTCGTGTCCAGTGGTCCTGTAGCTGGAGGAGCCTACGAGTCATGCAAACACCGACATTCCTGGGATGTATTCCCTCTCAGGAGATGCGGCTGGTAAAGCAGCATCAGCTAAAGCACCGAGTAACCCTGACAAAAGCTGCGACTGAAATTGCCAGCTCCCAGACCTGTTCAAGCCCTCCGAACATCTCCACCTTGGACACACAGGTTCCTCTAAGCTTCCACATCCTTCCCTCTTCAGGTGGAATTCAGTTCTCATTGTCAACAGTGTACCCTGAAATAAAAATGAAGACGCTTCCCTGTAACTCATCTTCAACTGACTTGCGGGGAAACAAAGGACTCTTGATGGGCCAGTTAGTAACCTGTACAGCCCATCTCTTGCCAGGCAGTCCTTGGTTCTCAGTTCTGTTCCAAAGATCTGCACCTGGTCCCGATCCAATGCTCTTATCTAACCAGCCTGATAAACTGCTGATTAGGTGGCAGTGGTGCTGATGGGGGCACTAACTGAAGCCCTGGCCCCCCACGGCTCGCTTGTTGATGCTTTCAACAAGCACCCCCCCTAGGCAAACATTAACGGTAAGTGGTCTCAGAGAAGCCCACCTGCAAAGCTTCCTGCAGGGGAAGAACCACCACCAGCCAGGATTCCATTTGTCCACATCCAGGTTTTCACACCTTCACAGCCTCAAAGAGTCATGTAGGGAAGCAGTGATGTTCTCCTCGAGTCCTAACAAGACTTGAAGTGGATTTAGCCAGCATGTCCGTGACCGTTCGTGAGAAGCAGAGAGCATCCTGAAGAAGTGTCTCTAAATAATCAGGCCAGCACCAAGTGGCTGAGAAACAGCAAGGTCCTGTCGTACCATCTCTGCAAAACCATCTAAGCTGTTCTATATGCTCCCCAGTCTCCAAGGGGTTTACGACCCACCACAAATTGAAAATATCCTAAGTGACACATGAATTTAATACACCAGGGCTACAGCACAGCATAGCAGACAGTTAGACAGTTTATAATGAGTAGGTCATTTCACTTTTGGATACAGTTCACGGTACAGTATTGATTGCTTACACTTATGACAGCGTAGGTGACCATGAGCTCCAGATCCCTGCTGCCACCCGACATCACAATAGTGCTGTGATGCACATGGCTAGCCTGATACTAGGTAAAAAAACAAACTCGGAAGTAGGATTCCTGCTAAGTGCGCGCTGCACCTACACTGTGTGAAGTCACAGCGTGCTAGGTGGAACTATCATAAGTTGGGGACAACCTGTATTTGAAATTAAGAATCCTTGAGAACAAGTATTCTCAAATGGGACATACAAGACTGATCACCACACACATCCTTGTACAGAGAAAGCAGACGTCTGGGCTGGGAACCATTTCACAGTGTCTTCTACACTTTTAAACAGTCCTTAGAACAATACCACCATTTCTCCCCCTCGGAGTGGGAAAGAGCGAGGTTTCTTTAAAACGTTCTAGCTGAACCTTTGCAACTTGTATGTAGAAGTTCAGGAGAGAACTCAGTTCCAGTCTTAATGCCTCAAGGAAAGGGGAAGCAGAGGCAGTGAATGGGAGAAGGACGGTGGCTGCAATGGACATAATACCTCCTTCCTTGCACACAGAGTCCTTCGTTTGATTCACACCCAACTACCTGGAAAGCTGAATCCTTTTGGCGAGTTACTGTCCACGGACTGGATGACATAAGCCACTGCAGACAGAGGACTGTACATGGATGCACATAGTGCTGAAGGCGCCCCACATGTCAGTAGCAGAGTCCACTGACCTCCAAAGGCACAGCTCCCAGGGCAAAACTCCATTTTTTTTCCCAGATAACTCAGAAGAGCTCAGTATTATGAACTTAATGTTAATGGCGCAGTAGGAGATCCATTTAACATTGTCTGTTTCCCATAGTAAATGACTTAGCAGGATATAAGAAGCTTTTAAATAACACAATTATCTATAGCAACTGTCATATACCACAGCATAGGAATAGTTCTATGTACCATAAACTCAGTCCCTGCATTGAGGCAGGGGTGGGAGTTTACTTGCATGCACTAAGGGTGAGGTTTTTTTTTCCCTGCATTTTTAATAGAATTCTTTTGAACTCAGTTGTATTGATTCCTTACACACTTATTAGAGGAACACAAGTGTAAAAAATTTACCTTGAAGCTCCAGTTCAGTGACACAAAAGCTAGTCAAAGGCAAAGTTTGTGCTCATCACTCAGAAGGAAGCGTATGGCACCCCAATGCTTACTAGTGTCCGACAGATCAGAGAGAGCGAGCGTGTAAGCGTAGGTCCCACATTATCCTTGGAGAAACAAAGCAGGGTGTTAAAGGGCAGTGTGTGTGTGTGTGTGAACTGGGCACGCTGCTCCCAGGCCGACACCACAAGTTCGGCAGTAAGAGGAGCTACCACAATGCAGGTGCGAAGTGTTGGGAGAGCCCTTGACTCACCTGGTCTCATTCAATGTTACTCTCCATTTTTAATGAAGAACTTATGCCAAGCATTGGTTTCTCAGCGGCCTGACGATGGCTCTCTCCAGAACATAGCTGAGTCACTTTACATTTTAATTCTATTTGGTTGCACAGCCTAAGCTGATCCTGGTAGAGACTATTTGTCAGCTTCAGTGGTAATAGGACAGTTTTCAGGATGGGACAAAAGACACTGCTGGATGCACACCACCTTTGGCAATGGTCTAAGTTACTCAACCAGGTGACCTTTCCCTACCCTCTTGACACAGGTCAGCAGCAAATGTCCCATCCAGATATCAATGAGGAAAGAATGTAGCTGGATACTGGATCACACCCACTGGTGCACAGGATGGATGACTGGCTATATCTGTTTTGACCGGGAAACAAACTCTAGTAGCTTTCTATTCCTTACTGTGGCTCTGCCCACATCCATCACTAGGGCAGGGACTGTGCTCTGAACAGGAAGAACAAAGGATCTGCTGGATGTTTAACTCTTCAGCCCTTATTGGCTGGGTCCTTTGAGAAGCGATTTCTTTCTCTCCACTGCCAGGCAAGGGACAGGGCGCCGCTCACAAGCTGTACCTATGCATTCCTTCTGCTTATGACTTGTCTCGCCTGTCCCTCTCAGTGACCCCTTTAGCACTATTTGAGCCCATAATGCCTAGTGGCGTGTAGATGGCGAAGATCTCAGTATTAGACTTATAAAAAGCGTGTCATCTCTGAGACCTTTACATAAGCACCGCCTGAGTGAGTACTTCAGTGACCACCCATCAGAACTGGGCAGGTGGGAAAGCAGCCTGAACAGGCTATGAAAATCACACAATTTCGTGCTGAAGCGCTTTGCACTCAGGAATGATTAAGACTGGATGACAAAAAGCATGTGCAAATGTCACAGACAACTCATCGCCCCCGGGGATCCCACTGTCTTAGGAAAGCGGGTGTATTGCTGGGGCAACAGAACGGAGCCAGAAGGCTGTGACAGCCTGCCTGCTTTCCCAGTGCTGGACAGTTCTAAGAATGCAGAGCACAGGATCTTGAGAAACCAAGGTCAAGGGTCAAAAGGCAGGTGGGTCTCCGGCTTGCTAGCTAGCCAGCTGTGTGATTTTTTTAGACTTTTAACCTAGCTTAACAGTTTCTGCGGTTGTCAAAGCGGGACAATTGACCACATGGCTGGGAGGATGAACAGACAAAAACTGAATGCAAGCAGCTAATACCAAAGAACCTTTCTTGTCAGGAAAGGTCAACATTTTGTTTGGCAAGACTCCTTTAAGTCAAAGAGTCCAGTAAAGCTCCGAGGAGCAGAAACTGTAAAAATGAACAAAAGCGGCGGCCGAGGGAAAGGTCCACACACAGAGGACTTGCTAGGGGTGAGGAGCTCTCAGGTACCGCTCCCCAGGACTAGAGGAGGAACTGGCTCTGCAGAGAGCATCAGCCAACTCTACAGCAGAGAACAAAGGGGATGTTATGCGTTACTTCTCCCGACAGTTTAAGAGTAAGAATAGGGTTGGAATCCTTTGAGTTCAAGACTTGTAGCTTAAATGTGAAATGGAAAGCGTTAATGAGCAAATATGTTTATTAGCATCAGATCACACATACGCATGCACACACATGCGCTCACGCACACACACACACGACCAAGTGGTATTACAAGGAATAGGTACAAATTTCAGATCTGAAGCCTTTAAATATTCACTAAAGATATTTAGTAGAAACAGCATTTTTGTAGTTCCCTCGTTTCCCTTCATTTGCCTCAAAAGCCCCTAAATTTGTAGAACAGATAGTTTTAATAAGAGAGAAGAAATCTTTCCTTCTACATAGGGGAATCACGGGCTTTGCCTACACTAAAGCAAATATGGTCTGGATAAGGCCACAATGTAAAGGAAGTTACTGGGGAGGATTCGAGAATTGCTGCTGCCCAGGTCCCATTCCTCAGACAGGGTTGTAATTGAGATACTGGTAGGAGCAGGGCAGAATCCAGATACATGTCTACAAGGCTTTGAAAAGGGTTCTAGCCAGGCGGTGGTGGCACACGCCTTTAATCCCAGCACTTGGGAGGCAGAGGCAGGAGGATCTCTGTGAGTTCAAGGCCAGCCTGGTCTACAAGAGCTAGTTTCAGGATGGGCTCCAAAGCTACAGAGAAACCCTGTCTCGAAAAACAAAACAAACAAAACAAAAAAAAACAAAAAGAAAGAAAGAAAATGGTTCTAATATGCAACCCGGGTTGGGGACCACCCGTATTACAGGTGCAGGATAGTAGGGAAGGCAAGGAAAACTTGTCACTCTGTAGACCTCACAGCCTTTAGAGTAGTGACGGGGCCTAAACACACAAGACTCAAGGCTTTGCCCCACCCAGCAACACAACCTTGGAAACACCAAGGAGCTCATGAGGTGTGAAGACCTCAGTAATCTAAATACCGCCCTCTCCCTCCACAGTATTTGGGCATGACCATGTACAAAAAGCATAGACGAGGACCATACTAGCCCCACCTCTGTACAGGCTGCTGTCCCTAAGGAGTCTGTCTGACTGGATTCGGAAGTAAATGAGCAAATTCAATGTGGATCCTGTTATCAGGAAGCTGAGCAGGGCACTCTCAGTGGCTGGCCACTGGCCCACGCCACAGCCCTTTGGCCCTGGTTAGGAACGGTGCCTGTAGGGACAGACTCTGTGTGACTGGACATGCTTTGAAGCAAAACTTAATTACCTGCTTCTTTCAAAACGATAGGCCTGGAGGTGGTATGTGGCTTTTCTAGGTCACAATGACGTGGGAAGTGATAGCAGCCAGCATTCGGTCCAAACTCTGGTCTTGTGAGCTGAGGTCGCAGCCAGGATCCCTGATTTCTTGGGCACTGTTCTTCCAGGCCCAGAAGTCAAGAGTGTAGCAAGTCTCGGAGGCTCTTCCTTCTTTTTCAGGCCTTCTCAGACACTGAGGACCATAGGTCTCAGGACGTCAGGCCCTGGTTTTTTTTTCATGTAGGCACAGAAGCCAGGGCTGTGCCAATTGGCCTGCAACAGAGTCAGACACTCGGGTATAAGTCTGGGATCTGCAAGCTGTGGTCTCCTGGAGACATTTATTGTAGGAAAGACAAAACGAATAAACCTTCAAAGTGCTTCTCAACGGTAGCCAATCCAAGCTTAAAAAGAAAGGGTTCCCAGGAACTTTGTGACCTAATCGCAATGGATGGCGCCCTTCCTGGGGAAGGGCACACTATGGGTTCAGAAACCGTCCCAGGTTATCCTGTGTCTCCCACTCCCACCTGTGAAGGAGTGGTCTGGATTAGAAGGTTCCAGCCACTTCTCTGCAGGCAGTTGGATTTGCAGGGTAGCAAAGGAGATCAAAGGCAGTTTAGGAACAATCAAGGCAGGGAAAATCATCACTGGGGAAGGACCCTACTTACCACAGCAACAGCAGGCTTGGACAGGAAGAGCCCATCGTTGGACTGGCTCAGAGGATAAAAGGGAGGGAGCGAAGAAAATGGCAGCCTTCGCAGTGACAATTATTAACCTGCTCTTTGTTCTGCCTCTCGCACAAACACTGTCCCAGACCCTCTTACTTAAAGGCAGATAGATAAGAAAGAATATATAGGTTTCTTTAAATGAGTGTGAAAATGAGCGACTCAGGAGGACAAGAGACAAGGCAAGGCTCTCCTTTACTCTTCAATAGCCACCACTATAACATGGCTGGGTATGTCATGTGTTAGCCTTATCAGGGCTCACTACCAGATCCAAGACAAGAAAAAAATTTTTTAATAAATGCTTGTATTGGATAAAGGCAATGCCTACAATTTAAAAAGCTGAATATGACGCTTCAAACATACAAATACTTACTGGGCTTCAAGAAATCCTCGGCAAGGGCATGCTCTCCTGTACAGTCCTGGATTGGGCTTAATTTTGTGCAATTTAGAGGGACAGAGACACCTTTCCAAGCGAGCTGGCTTCTCTTCTGTAGCCAAGTGCTGCAAGTTATTGGCACCCAGGGCATTTTCTTATAAGGCGATTTCAATTCTAAACTTAAGGTAGTGTTGTAAGGCCTCAAGCACAACGTTGAGTTGGGTTGGTAGGCTACTTTTCAATAGGACAATGTGCTGATGTTTCACGTTTTTATGATAAATATCGTTGGTATTCTATGCTTTAAGAGCAGAAGTAGTTTAAAGGGATATGTCAAATGCCCAACAATCATAAGGGGAGTTCGATATCTTCTTCTATCTTTTGGTTTTCCTTTTTCGGGTCATAAACTTTGCACTGGTTCTTTCCCCTCTTCTGCACCCTTTCCCTAGCCTTCATCTGCACCCACCTCAACCCCAAGCAACAAGATAAATCTGAAAAGCTGTGATGGAGCTGTCCCACAAAAGGTGACACCAGCCTCATCCCACCCACGATTAGGTCCTCTGTGGACAGGCCCACCCCGACACCCGCTCCAAAGACAATGCCAGCGTGGTCCTCAAGTTTATTGTTGGCGCGCTCGCAGGGATGCACGCTCTCCCGGGCGAGGCCAGGGCGCCGCACGGCGCTGAGCGAGGCGCGGATACGAGAGAGCCCGCACCGTCGCGTCCCCTGAGGGTCGGCCAGAAGCAGATAGGGTGTCTTCCAAAAGCCGAAAGCTAAAGCCGCCTCAAGCCAGCCTCTGAGGCCAAGAGGCTTTAAAAATGGCCTCCTGACGACACTTCCTGCTCGGGTCTGAGGCATCATTTAAAAAGCCGGCTCAGCCAGGCGCGCAGAGTCGCCGGGCTGAGCCGGAGCTGCACAAAGGCCGCAGGATGGGCCGTGGGTCTCCGACCCGACCCGCCTAGCCCGACGGGAGGCGCCTCGGCCCGGAGGCGAGCTCGTGGGACCGTGGAACCACACCCGACCGCGCCCGCCCAGGTCCCGCACCGCCACTCACC